GCCTCTGCCTCCCAAGTGCTGGGACTAAAGGTGTGTGCCACCACACCTGGCATGGGAAAACAAGATTTGATGTGCATTTGGATTTACAGTATCTATACTAACTGAAAACTGAACCAAGTAGTCAGGTGAAATATGTCACATGCTGCAAATCTGTCCACTCAACATCACTGAGCACCTACTATGTGTTTAGCACTGTGCCAACATCTCCAAAGTTGAGTATTAACATCTTCATCAAGCATTTACCTTAGAGTGAGGTACAAATGTATTAAATTAGCGTCAACTCATTAGTTTGCCTGTGGTAATGTATGAGATCCTATGCCAATTGGTGTCCCTGGGCCATTTAACAAGTTTCAGCACTCTGCTCATTCTTTCATACAAAATTTCTACACACATGTGCTAAGCAATGTGTTAACCACTGCAATACCATGATTTGATATATGTTCAAAGAATGCAAATTCATCAAATCAATCTATACAGAACTAAAAAGGTACATTATTTTTCGAAAATGAGGTTCAAAGCAAAGTATAAGGTGTTTCTATTGGTCATACCACACCAGAGACCAGCAAGTGCCTTTTATCACCCAAAAGCCTCATATTACAGTCTAAAGAAACCCTAAATCATTTGTGGCCTCACAGGCCTATTCTTTGGAGCATCTGACCCCACATAAATCAATCTATACTTTAAAGGGCTTATAAACTAAATCTGGACAAAGGAAAACCCAAATGATGTAATGTACTTATAAAGTAATGTACTTCAAGAACTATTTTGGCCATGTAAAGTAATACGTAAGTAATTTAGGACTGGAACAGTTTTCAAAGTACTAATCCTACCCCAAATGCATAGAATTCTAATCTGCCTTTTATACAACTTGCACTTGATGCAGAGGGCAGAGTTTGGCCCCTGATACCCTCTACAGAATACAGTAAGTGTTGGTCCTTCCACTCCAAGTAGAATCTGAGAACTCTAAGTATCCCATTAGGATACTAGCAATCAGGAGAAATGGCCCTGCCGGATCCGTTCCATCAGCAAGGAGTCTCTTAGCTGTGGTAGCATTGTGAACCTATGATGCCCCCTTGGGGGAAGGCAGAGAGCTGGGAGTTTATCCACTGAGTGAACCCAATACTGGCTTAAAGCTATGCACTGAATAAAGTGCTCTGCACATCCTGCTTCTCATCTGGAATGAAGATAGTCACTATCCTAAGAATCAGGCCACTTATAGGTACAGGGGAAGAGAGTAACAAGGAAAGAATCCAAGAAAAGTATGAAGCATTGACTGGGAAGGAAGACAAATGCCTCTAGTAGTGTTCTCAGAATCCTCAGGATTTGAAATGTCAGAATGAGTCATAAAATGGTCATGGTCCATAAATGCAAATGCAATCCCACTAGGTAATATTCACACAGTGCATGATTACTTCATGCGAGTGGGAGGAACAGTCTGCTGCCAACTGGTAGTATGGTGTCAGAATGAAAACAAAACCACTGAAGAAATCAGGGTAAGCAGTGTGTAACATTCTTTTCCTGACCGTCAGTTTTCCACAGGTTGATCTACCCTGTCCAAGAGAAGGGAGGCAAGGTATTTACCTCCTCTCATACAGGCATGGCCACTATCACCTTAACTGCCAAATTCAGAAGTTAACCACACAAGCCCTCCAGTTTCGTACCCTGAATATGGTAAATACGAGTAAGAATGGAGTAATTCAGTCTTTAAAAAGATCACAGGTAACAGAACACTTATATAAACTAGACTGCTTTGACACCTGTAAGAGAATTGTATAGATGGCAACTGGGGGAAAACAGATTGTTCCATCTGTCAGCAAACTGTTGATCTATCCTCAGCTGAAGTCCTCATCAGGGTTCTGTTGATCCAGCAGACGGACATGTGTGAATGGGAAGTGACCTCGTTTGCCATTACACTCCCCTTCCCACTGACCACTCACATTAATCTTCGTAACCTTTACCAGCTCACCGACCTGCAGGACGAGAATAAGGAGAGCACTTTATTTCCAGTTAAGAAGGCAAGCTGAAAATCTCCATTCTCTGTTAGGCATACCCTGCCCATGTGATTGCTCTAGGGCTGATGTTATAGAGAAATGGCTACTCACTACCTCCCCAGCCCCAGCCACCAGACTGGTTACTTGTGGTTAATGCAGGCAAAAGGAAGGAGTGTTGTTAGCAGTGGAAAAAAGACAGAGAATACAGAAAGCAAAAATGATCCTAAAAATTGATACTTTCTGTGAATCTCAGCATGTCTAGATGAGCTGATATTCCTTTTCTCTGGTCTACTATTCTCAGCAACCCCCACCCCACGCCATAAGGTATGGCTTAGGGAATAATGCCTAGCTCTTCCTGGCATATGTGGTAGCATGGCCCAACCCCTACCCCAGGACAACTCTCTCTCATACAATATTGTGGCTGCCACTGCTTGCACAGCAAAGGCAACCATAGCAAGCACACTGCATTTGGATTCAGAAAATAAAGTATTCCTATTGTTTTTCAGCCAAGACCAAATCTTTACCTAGAGAAGATACAGGCCAAAATGCCACCTCTCAAATCTAACTGACTTGCCACTCCTTAAAATGGCATGTGTTTACTACCCAATCAGGGACAAAGGAAACAAAATCCACTAACTACTATAGCTATAACCAGACAACTATAACTCCTTCCATTTATACAATGTCCTTTATAAAAACAAATATGAAGTTTTTTAACAAGATATACCTCTGCCATGGCATGAACTCAAGACAAGATCAGTTTGATAAACTAAAACATTAAAGAAACAGCATGGTGGGCCAGGCGTTGGTGGCGCACGCCTTTAATCCCAGCACTCGGGA